AAAAATAAAAAAAAAAAAAAAAAAGAAAAAGAAAGAAATGAAAAGGAGGAAGCAACAGTTAAGTAATCTTTTAGAGGCGCCATCTAGGGTCACAATCCTGAAATACTTTTAATACAACAATTGTAGAATGCCAATTCAACCGTGTAGTCAATTAAACATCGAATTAACATCTCAATTGAAAATGTATCTCCAAAAATACCCACAAATAACAATAACATATAAAAGCAGTCTCAAATATGTTGTTACATAATGTGTCAATGGGCCTTTAAATTGTATAAATGCACAAACTGTTGAGAATAAAACGAAATACATTTCGCCATATGTTAGATATCGTCTGCTGTTAACGGAATCACGTGCTATCTGTCTCTACGATTGATGGCACACAACTACAACAAAATGGCCACTTTGAGTGACATTCATTTTGAACAATGTGCCATAATCTTGCTGTCCTGGTGTAGTATTCTACAAGGACAATGATTCCAAACTAATAACGCTGATTAAGCAGCTAAGGGTAACAAAATCCGTAATATCACACCTACATTTTTTTGGATCGTACTGTTGACTTCCACAAAATAAAGTCACATTTCTCCATGAACACTACTGGTAATACACGGGAAAATCAAACAGTATTTTAATTCAGTTTGAGTCGTGTTAACTAGAATACAAAAATATCTTAGCATATCAAGTAATGGGTAAAAATTAAACCTACTGTAGAGGAACTCGGAACAGCCGTCATAACCCTCTTCGTCCTCCTCACATTTCTCGGCGGCTGTGTCGTGGTCACTGAGTGTACTGGCAAATACACATGCGCCGTGCTCAACCAGGAATCTCACCATTGGCTGGTTGTTACAGGAGGCTGCGCAGTGGAGTGGAGTCCTATGAAGATACATGTGATGAGACTAGAATTCATCTTACCTACCACAGACATTTTAAAGTTATGTTTTAAAACTTAAGGATAAAAAAAGGTGGAGGCATGTAGCTTACAAAAATAAGGTTTATGCATATGGACAAAGAAAGAAGGATGCATCAGAGGAGACTGACCACTCACCAGCCATCACTGTCCTGAGCATTGACGTCACAACCAAACTCCACGAGAAACTTGACAATTTCAAAATGTCCTGCACAAATAGCGTTGTGAAGAGCTGTGATTCCTTCATCATTAGCAGCGCTAGCATCAGGTACCTAAATCGGGAAAAAGACAGAAAAACTCCAAAATTATCAGGAATATGGAACCAGTATTACAGTTACAACTACAAAACATTTACCTATAATACCTTTTGCAGAGTATATTAATTTTTCTTTTAGTTTTACGACGTATTCTAACGGTTTTTGTTGAGATATTGTTGTTGTTTAAGTTATTTTGTTGTGAATCTAAAAATGAACAAGAGTCAGCAATTTTTACCTCTCTTGTAGTTTTTTTCACGAGCTCTAGTTCTCCTTCAAGAGCAGCGTCCAGTAACAAAGCTAGAGGGTCAAAACTGACCCTCCGGGAGTTTTTGGTTGAGTTTTTGGTTTTCAAGTTTCCTTTCTTCACTCTCCGTAAGGCGGCGCTGTTGTGCATGTGCGAATGATCAATTCCGTTAGCCTCGTTAAGTGCCTCGGTTTGTTGATCTAAAGGTACATAAAAATTTTCTTTCTTGAGCAAGCACACCGAAACCGAACAGTATTTTAAGAGTCTGACTTTTATGTGTAGTTTTTTTTATCAAAACGAAGTGACATTCACAAGATTTGTTACTATTCCAGGGATAGTTAAATGCTACATTTAGACTATTTGAATATTTCAGTATACCGAGCAGTCAGCCCTCGTTTGACGTTTCTGCTTTTTCCTTGCCATGGAGAATAGTCAAGTGGGAAAAAGCTCTCTATGTGAAGTTAACAGCAAAATACTGTACTAGTGAATCCAAAAAACATATTTTCAGTACGAGGTCGCGCCACCTACTTAAAACTTATTGCCATTACACTGCACGTTGAGAAAAATTACAACCTATTTTGGGAAAAAAGGAACAATCACCCGAAAATCCGAACCCATAATGAACGGTGCAAGTACAAAGAAGACCAGAAGATTCAACTTACCAGAAACATGTGCTTGACCATTGTCTGTGCTGACCGAGTCTCCGTCCCCATCTGGTCGTATAACGTTTTCTAAGTCTAGAGCAACGTTTCCATTAAATTGATCCAACTGATCCGTTTGGTTCGGTGGACTCTTGTGTAGGTGCTTGGAATTCAAAGTTAGATTCTCAGTTTCCAGCACCCCTCTGTCTGTGACGTCATTTCCTGCTCGTGCTTCTTTATGGGCGGGTCCGCCGAGGTCAGTAGGGGGCGGGTGGTTCTCAGGGAACAAGAAAGCTGGTGGCATTGCAATACGCCGGTTTATGCTAACGTGGACGCTTTGGTTGGGGGAAATTCTCCCACTACTAGTCCCTTCCGTTCCTTGTTTTTGGGTGGATACACTCTGTTGTCCTTTAACCCTTGGCTGGTCACTACTTAGTGGAATTTTGATAGTAAGTGGTTTTGGTCTTATCGGTAGTTTCTCACGCTTGTCCTCATGCTCCACATTACCACCTGATAAATCACTGGTGGAGAAATTATTGTCCCTAACACCACTAGACTTGAACTGAGGTGTGCGCGATGGATGTTCATTGCGATATACGTGGTTCATCGCTTTGGCAAACTGGTCAAGGGCTTCTTGACCAACTCTCTGAGCATGACGTTGCACGACTTGCGGTTGTACCAAATACCTACATACAAAATAGTTCATTTCAAAATAAAAAAGTACACTTCATGCTGAATACAACTCTTTATTTTTTATAGATTTTTTTTCTTTTAGACTTGTATCAATTGATAGGATGTGAGGGCAAGTGTGTAAAGTGAACGAACACGCGATGTTTTTGTCGTGACGTCACAAACTAGAACTACCATTTAAGGAACACGTAGAAACAAAAGTATCAGAGACCCATTTGATAACGACAAATGTTACAGCAGTTTCCACTTGTAACCCAAAAGGACCAGGAAGTTATTGTAGAAAAATAACAGCTTGAGAATTTGATTTTTAAAGTAATAAAACACATCCATTTTATTCAATCTGTACACATAGTAACATCCATTTCAATAGTGCGCCATTAAAGCTTGTAATATGTTCGGTCCATAAGCCAAACTTACTAGTCTACCATATTAAAACTTCTCGCCATGGGGGAATCAATATCGCGGAATACAATTTTAAAGTCATCTTCAGAAATCTTTACCAATCTGCTTTAACAATCAAAATAACAATGTTCCAATTTTTTTTACCTCCTTTAGAACTTACATTTATCTTCTTTGTGAACAATTTAAAAGTCTT